GAGGAGGAGGAGGAGGAGGAGGAGGAGGAGAAAAAGAAGAACAAGAACAAGAACAAGAACAAGAACAAGAACAAGAAGAAGAAGAAGAAGAAGAAGAAGAAGATTTTTTAACGGTGATTTACCACTAAGTCAACGGGGGTGGTACACTGCTTAGTGCTCTACAGAGATACATGTACAAGAAAGCACAAAGAAAAGCCGATGAAGCAAAGAGTAAAAAACGAAGCACAGTTACCAAAACGTGTTTCAAGTGTATTTCTGTCGGTGAGGAAAGAATATAAAGCACTATATTACTGTATCTGTAAGAGACACTTTTAAAAAGTCGTATCGTTGTTAGAACAACATCAAACTATATATAAAGTAAACGAACTTCCCGGGCACCATTATTTGAGCTACAAAGTACAAGATCAAGAGGCAGATCTTACTCCGCGTCCTTAGAGTGAGAGATACATCTCATACCAGTTAATAATTCACTGAAATTACATTCATAACCCGGTCGTTGATTTAAAGTAACCCCCGTCTCCCTATCCGAAAAGTTTCTTGTTTGACACAATCTCGACTTTCAACCCTGTGCCCTTTGCGTCAGCTTCAACGCTGTTGACGCTTGGTAAAGTGGGTTGCCCCATTGGACTAACATTGAAAACGTGACTCTGGCGAGGGCAAGTCTTGTCTGACAATAGATTTGCGTTTAACCAGATCTTCTTTTAACAGTTTGAGCGTCATGTTTCACAGATTTACGAGGCCTATGACGACATGGTGAGCAAACATCAAAATATAATAATGATTCACGGCCGGCGAAGGAAACGGTATTATTATTGTGTCAAGTGCTCCCTTTTTGAGAAGCAACACTTTAAGAACGTACTTGTGCTTTCAACATATGCCACTATTAATATTTAAGTTGAGATTCTCCAAAGCTTTCCACTAAGATTGTAGGCTACCGTTTACGCTTTTTTTTTACCGTTCTTTACTCTCGTGTAAATTGACTAGGAATTGACTTTTGGGAAATCTTACAAAAGTGTTGAAAACAGTTATTGTTTTGGGTGTCGAACGGTGTATAAAAAAACATCTTCAACAATTAAAGAAAAACACCATTAAGGTTGGTGGTTGGAAGACACCAGGCAGAACTCCTTTATATTCCCTCTTTTGGTTCCGGTATATCTTTATTTGTTCCTTCACAAAATGGCGTTATCGCGTCACTAGGTGCTTCTCCTCATGAATGCCTTACTGAAACATGTAATGTTTTAGACATTTTAATTTAAAATGTGCAGCTGAAGATTACACAGTAAATCTCCAATTTAGCGCAGAGTTACCCGCTGCCAGGACTGGAATGCGTATGCATTTTTCTCGAATCTCTGCCTCGGAAGAATATTTTACTTCTTGCCAACAGCTCCGGCTTTGAATTTATTAGATTTAATGGAGCGCATTGACAAAGAATTCACTCTTATGGATACAGGGTAATTCAAACACATTTAAAGTAGTACCACTAGTATCTGAATAAAACCTTTCTATGCTCGAATTGATACTTCGTTTGTTTGTTGCTGTTGTTGTTGTCTGGGGGGGGTTGGGGGTTTTTTTGTGTGTGTTATGTTTTTATGGCCTTTTCAAGACTAATGCTCGAGCCCGAAGACTGTAGACGGACGTTAAAGCTTATCCATATTTAATAATCCGTCTTGAAAAGGTTCTAAAAATTGACCAAAATAAAACTCGACTACACAGACATGTTGAACATGTAGCGCCTTGCCCCGTCTCAGAAC